ATCCCACGATCAGCAGGCAACACCGCAGGTAAGCTGCTAACTCAAGTCCCAAGAACCAGAGGCCAGACGAACAGGAGCCAGCTGCAGGATCTAAGCAAACAAAAGCCCATAAGCCTTGCCAGAATGCCCACTAATATTTGATGCAGGCCACATGCCCAAGGAAACTCCCTCTCAACTGACTGGCTACTGAAAGCATATCCCATCATGGAGGTGATCACATTATATCAAATCTCTTCATGGAAGTGATCACAACATCATATGACTGCCAAACCACTGAGAATCATGGCCCAGCCAAGTTGACATACAACCTTAACCATCACAGTCATTTTCGTCAACTAGAGATAGTATGGGATACTGAGGAACATGGGTATGGTGGAAAGAGCACTGCTCAGAGAGGATCTGCGCTCCACTCTCAGCTCCCAGGTACTAGCTGGCATTTCACCTAGTCATTGGGCCTTTTTTCACATCTACACAATGAGGGGGTTGGATGTGATATTTCCTAAGGTCCCTTCTAACACTCTACGAAAGATATATGTCTCCGTAGCAAATAAAACATTGATGATCGATAGCTACCATAGAGCAAATTGTTTATTAAAAAAAATAATAAAATCATTTGGGCAGTAATCCAGTCTTCAAATTTGGAATCTCCTCCACTATAAGACCTCATTATATATAATTGTAGGTACCTATGAATTTTGGCTTCATTAGAATTTAGGCTTCTTTTCAGCTGCCTTGGGTTTGAGGAGGCTAGAATTTATGGTGGCCCCAAGAAGCTAATACTACATGGAATTTCCTTTTCTGGGTAAAGACACCATGTCCTTCACTTAGGTCCTGGAAATGAGTCTCTATTCTATTGTTTGTTTCATCCTCTCCCCTCTCCCTTTTACTGCCACTTAGTTCTTTTCTTCTGACTGGATTAACCTTTTCTCTCCTTTCATTGAACCTTTTTTTGGAGGTGTGGGGAGTGGGTGAAACTGTACACAACAAAACATATACCCACTGAACAATTGTTACTTGTGTGGATCATGGACAGTGGTTACATAATTGGTATTGTGTCACCCATTTCTCCCTATCTCTGCCCATATTGTTTCCTCACCATTAACTTAGACTCTCAGCCCCTCAAAGCTCTGTTCTGTGGTTTAGAATTACTGTTGTCCATTTAACCTCATATAGACAATTCTTTAAAAGAGTGCAGTGCTCAAGGTAAGCATTCTTTATTAAATGAGCTAAATTGTTGTTTAGTTTAAAGATGACTTCATGGGATAGTTTTAGTTCAAGGCTTAAAAGTTGTTTCCAGGAAGTAGATTTGAGGGTCATCGGACTTTTATGTATTAATTCAAAATTTTTTGAGCACGGACTATGTGCATGTGCTGATGCTGAGATGTGAGTTAAGAAGAAAGACCCAGCTGCTACCCTCACTGGACTAAGAGTCTAGACCAAGAATCTCCATACCTTTTTGATTATCCATCCATCAGTAAAACAATTGAGGATACACTCCTTACTAATATGTAAGGTGTACTGTAAAACATACACAAAAATTGGAAATTAAAAAGATGAGCGTTAGCTCTAGACTTTGCTCCCTTAGTGCCTGGGTAGTGCTCTTGGCCACTCTTTGAGACCCTATCATCTAGAGTTATGACAGACAAGAGAAAACAGAAAGGAGGGGGTGTAAGGTTGTAAAGTCATTAAAAGAGAGCAATATGTGACTAAAAGCAGTACCCCCAGCCTTACCTTCTCGTTCCCTTTGCTTCTGATGGATTTGCCTTGCATGTGTGTTTCAATGTCATCGTCCTTGTTTTTTCACTGCAGCCCGGTCTTGCTGCTAAAGTTGGTATATCTGTCCTGAGGACCACACTAGGAGCCTCTCCCAGGGCCTAAGCTTGACATTCATGGATTGCTTGATTACATTTTCTTTAGATCTCCATCCCCCCAGACGCTCCCAGCCCACCACCCAAACTGAGTGGTAATCTTTAAGATGAACCTTCAGCTTTTTGGAAATAACTCACATCCTTTTCCCCCTCAGGAGGGATTTGTTCGTGTTGACCGAGATTATGTGCTGAAGTCTGCAGAGCTGGCAAAAGCTGGGGGGTGCAAACATTTCAACTTGCTGTCCTCTCAAGGAGCCGATAGGTCAAGCAGTTTTTTGTACCTGCAGATTAAGGTTTGTACACATTTCCATCTTTCATATACTTTGGAGAACACTGGCTGATTGGCACCACTAGATAACACAAGAGGGCACTGGTGTTTCAGTGGTAGAATTCTCACCTTCCATGCAGGAGACTGGGTTCGATTCCCAGCCAATGCACCACATGAATAGTGACCACCACCTGTCTGTCAGTGAAGGCTTGTATGTCGCTATGATGCTGAACAGGTTTCAGTAGAGCTTCCAGATTAAGATGGACTAGGAAGAAGAGCCTGCTGATCCGCTTCCAAAAGTCAGCCAGTGAAAACCCTATGGATGTTAGTGGTTCAATCCTCAACAGATAAACGGGGTGGCATAGGACTGGACAGCATTTCATTCCATTGTGCATGGTGTTGCCATGAGTTGGGGCCAACTCAGTGGCAACTAACAATAACAACAAACAATATCAAAAAGCATTGTATGCATTATATTATACATTTTCATAGCTACAGGGACTGCTTTTACAGGGGTATTTTTAGTATTCAGGGTGATTTGAAAGAGAATTTCCAATGTATTTTCGCCAGTTGATTATCCAGTAATCAGTAGAATGAGATGTGGTGGCTCTGGCCTTAACTATCAGTGTGGAATCTTAGCATTGGAAGAAACCATGAGGCAGTAATTTTTAAACTTTTTTGTCAAATTTTCCCTAATGGCTGAGGAGAATGAGCATATACTTCTCTGGAGATTTGAAGAAATCTAGCTTGACACAGTCTGTTAGCTACAAGGTCAATGTTATTAGAAGTCCTGTGTTTTATCTTTAAAAAATTCAGGCACATTTTGCTATTCTCAGTAATACACATATCCTTGTTTAAAAACTACAACAAGATTTCCATTTAGTCACCTTCAAGTAAATTGATGCTGCAGGAAGATAGGCCATGTGTTCTCATGCCTTTGTGGACCTCCTGAAGCACGCCCACATGCCCACAGTTAAAGAAGCAGGGCCTGAGCGGTCATTCAGCTGAAGATCTTTCTAATGTGAAATCCTTTTATAGATGGTCATCCAGCTTCTGCTTGATACCTCCAAACTTAGATGGTGGTGATGACTGCACAACGCCATGAATATACTAAAAATTATTGAAGCTTAAAACAAACAAACTAGGATTATACAGTCTGACAGGTTAAGTGCCAAGGGAGTGGTACAAACAGGCTGAGAAGGAGCAGAAGAGCGTGCCGCATGTGACTGTTTAACAGAGATGCTTGGCCTTGTTTAACACATTTAATTTAAATCATCATACAGATGTAATCTCACTGTCTCTTGAAATTTTGTAGAATTTTCAAAAAGTGAGTAATATATGGTATATGGGTCGTCTGACCCACTGGAACTACCTGTGAACCAAAAAAAAAAAAAAGTTAATGTCTGCTAGCCTGTAACATTAATTCTGGACTAAAGGGAGGTTACTCTTTTATGTTTAAACTCCTAATATGTCACTTACCCTCTCTGGATCTCTTTGAATATCTGTAAAATAAGAGGACTGGACTGACTATGCAGCTATTCACTCATTCAATAGGTATTTTTAAACTACCTACTTTGTATTACGGAGCCCTGGTGGCGAAGTGGTTAAGAGCTCAGGCTGCTAGCCAAAGGGCAGTAGTTCAAATCCACCAGCTGCTCCTTGCAAACCCTATGAGGTTGCTATGAGTTGGAGTCAACTCGATGGCACACAACAGCAACAACACTGTGGATCAGGATTAAATGATATCTTCCTTGACTTCCAGACTCTCTGGAATCTAAAATTCTGGATAACGATATTGATGAGTATTGAGACCTGCAGGAGCAGATTATCTTCAGAACCCCAAATCAGTCCCTCTTAAATTTTACAGAAAGCAGGTCTTGATTACATACTGAAAATGTGTTTTTTGCTAACAGGGAGAAGTGGAAGCCAAGGTTGAAGAATTAGAATTTGATCGTTACTCCATATTTAGGCCTGGGTAAGTGCTCATACTGCCTAAGAGTACACCACTGTTGGTTATTCCCTAGAAGCTAGTTTTTCACTTAGAGAGCCCGACAACTAGGATATCTAAGATATGAAAGAAGTTGGCTGGAGATTTGTTGCTCTGAAGGACCCACTTTTGGCTTTGTAAAAAGGGGTAGACAGTGAGTGGTACCAGCTTCAGGATAGTCTACAACTCCTAAGTAGCATTTGCTGCCTTCTTTTTTTAAAATCCTCTTCATGCACCAAATAAAACCTTATACCCATTATGATCTGATGGCAATTTAACATCTTTTCTTCTGCTTCTCTTTCTCTCTTTAGAGTTCTGTTATGTGATAGGCAAGAATCCCGTCCAAGCGAATGGTTAATCAGGAAATTCTTTGGCTCCTTACCAGAATCCTGGGCCAGGCCGTACTCTGTGCCCGTGGTGACCGTGGTGAGAGCGATGCTGAACAATGCTGTCAGACCAAGTGACAAGAAGATGGAACTGCTGGACAACAAGGCCATCTATGCCCTGGGGAAAGCCCATGACACTCTCAAACCGTAATGATAGTGGAGAAAATGCTTTTTATTGCAAACTTTAACACCCACTACCATATCGGTCATTTCAGAGTCTGAAAAAGTCAGCATACTTTAACTTTGTTGGTTTACTATTCTCAGCCACCCATAGCCAATCCAGAAATGACTGTAATCTACATCAGTGGTTTAGAGCCTGGTCGTACATACAGATCACCCAGGGAGCTTTTGAAAAAGAGACGTCCGTAGGCCCTACCTCATCTTCTGAATCAGAATCTTTGCAGTATGGGCATACGAATCTGTTTTGTTTTGTTTATGTGTCCCCTGGTGGTTCCGATGCCACTGGCTGGAATATCAGCTTTGGAAACACTTGTTTGTAGAGTCCCAGCAGCAGGGTAAACCTCATGTGCCATGCAGAAGAGCTCTGTGCTAAAATTGTTAACATTCATGTCTCTGAGGTTACCCAGTGCTATTGCATTGTATACAGCATGTACAATGAACATTGTGCCTTTCCTAATTCTTCAGAATATATAATAAAACGAGCTCTCACAACTGAGGTTATATAATTCATGGGGAGAATTAAACAGGAATAAAAATACATGGACAAGTCTTACGTGCTGCATAGACAAGATTGTTAGAAAATGCCGAAGTCTCAATGGTGATATGCAACATTCTGGTGAATAGGATGATATAATGATTATCTGACACTTACTAAGTGGCAGCCATTGCATGTATTCTCTGTCCTTTAACTCTCCAATCTTTAGAAGGTGGTGCTGTCACTATCCCCATATCTTAGATGGGGAAACTGAGGCTCATTGTGGTTAAGTGCCTTGCTTAAGGGCCCAAAGCTGAAGACTTGAAGCTAGGAAGTAGCAGAGCCAGGATTCTAACCCAGGTCTGCCTAATCTCATAATTTGTATTTTTAACCAGTCTGCAAGAGCATCTTATATGTGTACAGTTCAGGGAGGTCCAGTTAATTTTTACTGAGTGAATATATACTGTGAGTGAATAAAATTCAAATATTTGACTTTCTGGCCCAGGATTCTTATAATGATTTAACTACAAAATGTTTACATAGCCAGTAAAATTTCTATGGCACCACACTTTAAAGGGCTTAAAGTGCTACCCTTTAAAAACTATAGAAAAGGAAGATGCAGAAGGTAGGTCAAGGCCAAAAGGAGCACACAGTGCTAATTTCCACTCTAGAACCAAGGATGATGGTGAAACTTGCCTTAACTTCTGGGCTGGGGGAAGCAAAGTGATTTGAGTGATTCAGTCAATTGTACAGGGTCTACATTATGCCAAGTACATTTCAAACTTTAGTGGACACTAAGGAATAAAG